GACACTGAGTCTGTCCTCCTTGTTCTCCAAGGCTGCGGGGAGGTTTCTAGAGAGCTGATGGTCTGAGAACTGCAGGTGAAGTGGCATTTGGGGCCTTTGGCAAACACGGTGTTCCAGGTCAGACCCCCACCACCCTGCCATCAGGGGATGACAGGTGGCTTAGTGTCAGCCACTCGGAACATGTCCAGAGGGGCTGGGTGGAGGATGTGGCTTTAAAGTCTTCCATGCTGAATGTCAACAAGAGCTAACTCCCCCGGGAGCCTCACTGCCCTCCAGGCTCCAGCTCCCTCAGTCCGGAGGTGGCCGGCTGGACAGGACAAGGTGTGGCTGGCAGGTCCAGTCAGGGCTCACAGAGTCAAGGGCTTTGGGACACTCTGCCACCTGCTTATGGCCTCTCGCTCCAGCCTGCCTGGCTCCTGGCCCCTGCCCAACTGCATGCCCCAAACTTTAAAACAAAGAAGCTGCTGTGAGACCCAAGCCTGCACCATGATTGTCTGGCCAGGGCACCTGGTCAGGGGAGTCAGGGACTCAGCTCCAGTCACCGCCAGGCCACGTCCACACCTGCCGGCCCTGCAGAGAGGGCATGTGGAACACTCAGTGGCTCTCTACCCTCTCTTTTCAGCCTTTTCCCTGGAAGGCTCGGGAATCAGCTTTGCAGATTTATTCCGGCTCATTGCCTTCTACTGCATCAGCAGGTAAGGCCCAGCCCCCCTGCGCCCCAGGGACCCTCTGAGTGTGTGTGTTGTGGTCGGTCCTGTGTCTGGGTGCTGGAGGGAGGAGGGAAGGCTGCTGAGATGAGATGCTTCCAGTCCATGCAGCGCACAGGAGGCGGAGCCACAGCCACTCTGGGCATCCACGCTCAACGTGCTCCTCAGGCTGCTCCCCGAGGAGCACACACGGGCACACACGTGTACACAGACACAGAGACACACACACAAAGGAAACTGATGCAAACCTGTAATATGTAAAGGTCATTGCCAACATTTTTGAAAATTGGCTAAACCATCCGTAAGTCTTGCAGAATTGACCCTCAGGCTCCTGTCAACAGTGTGCTCCTTGGACCGGGGATTTGGCTCAGTGGTTTCACTACCTGCCTCGCAAGTGCAAGGTCCTGAGTTCAATCCTGGTACCAAAAAAAAAAAAAAATGTTAAACAGTGTGCTCCCTTTCTTTTCATGACCAAAGCACCTGTTTTAGGCTGCAGAAAAGTAAGCCCTAAATCAGGATGTCAAGAGGATGTGAGTTATAAAAGCCTTTTTTGTTTGTTTTTTGTTTTTTTGAGACAGGGACTCACTATGTAGTTCAGACTGCTCTGGAGCTCACTGTGTAGCCCAGGCTGGTCTCGAACTCACAGCAATCCTCCTGCCTCAGCCTCCCAAGTGCTGGGATTACAGGCTTGCGCCACCACGCTCGGCTATAAAGGCCTTTTTTAAAAAAAATATTCTTTATTTTATTTGTGGTACTGAGCATTGAACCCAGGAAACACTGTACTATACCCCTATCCCTTTTTTATTTTGAGACAAGTCCTCACTAAATTGCCCAGACTGCCTTCAAATTTGAGATCCCCCTACCTCAGCTTTCCTAGTAGCTGGGATTACAGGGATGTACCACCATATATATCTTCTTATCGTCATCATCATCTTCATCATTTATTTTCTTTTTTAAAATAAATTTTTATTTTTATTCCATTTCCCCCCACACCTTTCATCATTTTTTTTCCAATATGAGCCACAAAGTGAGATCCTGTCTCAAAAAGGAAAGAAAATAAATCTAGACTGTGTACATACTGAAACTCTTGGGGGAAACATTTATATTTAAGGTAGTAGCTTTTTTGCCTATTGAGCAAGCTTTATCAGGGCCTCTCTCTTTAATAGGGTGTAGGAGTGGAGGAAGCTTCCTTGTGTATGTGTGCATGTGTGTGTGTGTGCGTGTGTGTCTAGACACTAGGACGCTCTCTGGCTGGGACAGGGTAAGAGGACGTGAGTGTAGCATCTAATTTTCTAGCAGATCAAAGCCTACAGCCTCTCATGAAAGGACAGCAGGTGTGGCTTCCTGTCACCTGTCATTAAGAAAAACCCAAACCAGTCAGGTGGTATTTGAGCTTGGGTTCAACATTGAGCCCTATAAAAGCTTAAAGTACATGTAGGTCCATTTCATTAAGTGTCTGAAGAAATAGATTTTAATGGCATTGTTCTGGACATATGGTCATATATTTGCAGTGTGTTGTAGTCTTGCAAAGGTCTGGTTCTGCATCTCTGCCAAGACAGGCTGCCTACCAGGCATGTTGGAACAAGCCTGTAACCCCAGTACTCAGGAGCCTGAGGCAGGAGGGTCACTGTGAATTAAAGGCCAGCCTGGGCTACCTAGTAAGACTGTTTCAAAATAAGAATAAGAATAAGATCCTAAAATTAAAGAAAGAACAAGGCTGTCACCTGTGGCTCTAGCTGCTTCATCTCCAACCCAGACAGGGGGACAAACAGAAGGGATGCTCACAACATTTGGGGGAGCAGGGGCGATGAGGGTGGATACCCGCCGGAGCAGCAGCCTCCTGACTTGTGAGTGACACTTCAGGGTTGCAGTGATGACCAATGTCCAAACTTGACCCATGTGTGGTTCCTTTCATTGACCTTACAGCTTAGTTAGCCAGTGTACAGCTTCGAGGACTCTAGAATTCCAGTCATCTAGATGTAATCTGTTCCATCCTTGGGTGTTGTCTACTTGTACCCTAAACAAGTCCTTTAGCCTCACTATTCTCATCACAGGAAACTTCCAAGGCGACTCATGATGACAAGGTGCAAGCAGAAGCCCCAAGCTTTGTCCTTCCCTAACTTCACTGGCCACTGCCTCCTTGCTGTCCTTCCCCTGGGCCAGACCCTTGCCCATGCCAGGGCCTTGGCACCTGCTGCCCCCCATCTTGGAACATCGTCCCTCTCGTTTTCCCCTAGCTGTATATAGATCTTCAGGGGCCATGTTCACAAAACCCTGTCTCACCAGCTGTTCCTGTCACATGCTTTGTTTTTCAATCCTGGGGATTGACCCAGGGCCTTTGCACTAAGCTACAACCCTAGCTGTTTCTTTTTTTTTTTTTTTTTTTTTTTTTTTCATTTTTTACTTTGAGATACGGTGAAATTACTAAGATCCCTATGCAGAGCTCAAACGTCCTCCTGTCTCGGCCTCCCAAAGTGCTGGGATTACAGATGCCTGCTACCTACTGCACACTTGACTCCTCCTTCATCCATGACATGGGCTCCCGTCCCATATCCATGTATTTCATATATGGCCTATTTGTGTTACTGTGCTTTGTTCCCAGCCCTGGAGCAATATCTGAAGTACCCCAGACAGTCATAAATATTTGTTGAGTGAACAAATGAATCATTCTTTGTAAGACCAATACCATCACCATAAAAAAAAAACAAAAAAACGCTTCTAGGGCCAGGGATTTAGCTCAGTGGTTCCACTGCCAGCTTTGTAGCCCAAGGTCCCAAGTTCAATCCCCGGTACCAAAAAACAAACAGCAAAAACAAACGAAAAACCACTTCTGCCATAAGTCGCCACTGCTACTAAGCATTCATTCTATCATTCATTTATTCCAAAACAACATTCTCCAGGAAAGGTGCAGGAGAATCACGCCACTGCTTATAGCATGTGAAAGTGATGAATGTGCAAGGTGCCACCTGTGCCCTCCTGAGAGAGCCAGTCACTGTCCCTGTGTCTGTGCCCGCTGACTTAGGCCCTGGTGCTCCGATGCCAGGGTGACTGCTGTCACAAGGAGCCTGTGACTTGCCTTCGAGCCTTGGTCACCTGGGGAGTCCGCAGACACACAGGCTCTGCAGCCCTGCCCAGGCCTCGAGGTCAGCGTGGATACACAGTGTGCATGGTTTACTCCGTAGATCGAGCCCCCCAGATTCTGCTGCACTTGACAGCAGAAGTTCTTAGAAGCAGGAGAAAGTTTGTCTCCACACACAAAGGGCAGGACATGGATGGGCTCTACTTGGAAAGTGTCACAAATCGGGCCAGCAGCCTCTCGCTGGGCACCCCCAGTGTCAGGCAGTGGACTGATAAACTTGGTTTAGAGCTGCACATTCCTGCCCTGGGAGTTGGGGCCCGACTCTGTGATAGGCATCTAGCAAATTAGCACGTGTGGTTTCCTATGTGGAGCGGAGCAGCGAACACCATCAGCGATTCTGAGTGCTGATAGCAGCCTCACAGCCTTGCCTTCCAGCGGGAGCCTGATCCCCAACCTGGGCACTGAAACCATGTGGACTCCTCCTGCGGCCGTCCAGAGTGTTTAATGACAGGGCGTGGGTGTGAGCCCTGTCATCTGCTGGATACGGCATGGTCTCTGCTCAGGACATTTTAAACCATGGAAGCTAAACACATCACTAGGATGGAAAATGAGTGCAAAGATCAAAACTGGGCAGGCAATGACAAATATTCTCTCTTTTTCTGTGACATCAGGGATGTCCTGCCGTTCACCTTGAAGTTGCCTTATGTCATTTCAACAGCCAAGACTGAGGCTCAGCTTGAAGAACTGGCCCAGCTGGGACTAAGTAAGTGTGTGGCCCTGGCTGGGTCTGTCTTAAAATGAATCCAGACTTCGGAGTCTGTCAGATAACCCTCAGGTCTATAAGGTCCCAGAATCACACTTTCTGAGATTCTTTTTTTTGAGACAGATTCTTGCTATGCAGTTCAGGCTGGCCTTGAACTCACAGCAGTCCTCCTGCCTCAGCCTCCTGAGTGCTGGGATTACAGGTGTTTGCCAGCACTCCTGGCTTTTCTGGGATTTTTTTTCCAGGTCATATGTTCAGCCAACTCTTAGAAAAACTGGGACTGAAGGGTCCTCCCCAAATCTCCCCAGCTTCTCCCCTCGATAATTTGGATCTACCCACATGTTGGAGTTCAAATATATATGACCTAGCTGGGAGTCAGGGTCTCCCCCTCTGGCGGTGCCTTGCTAGAGAAAGAGGGACCCATGCAGAGCACACTTCCTGCTCAAGTCACACATGCATGGGCAGCACTTACGTGCCTGAGGAACATGACAATGAAGATGTCCCAAAGCTGATCCTCGCTCCCACCCTACCAGGGACCTTGCTCTGCCCACAGGCACTTGCTTCCCCTCCTGCCCCATTGCCGAAGTCCCCAAAGCTAATCCTGCCAGACAGTGGCTGCAAAGGATTCGGACACAGAGCTCACCCAGTGACCTAGTGTTGCTCTGGGAAATCTATGCGATCTTAACTTTTGCAAAGAATTTCCCTTCTACGAGGAAAGGGGAATTCTCCTAAGATTTCAGGGCTCTGTTCCTTGAGGAAGTTAGCAGTCAGAGACCATGGGATTTGAATGGAGCTTTGGGATTTTGAAGCCTCAGTACTAGGATTTCTAGAACCTAAGAAACCTATACTCGACCTAGAAAATTAAAAATATGTCAACCTCCTTTGGCATAGTTTTCTTATAATCCAAAGAACTTGAAGTAGATGTCCTTTCTAAGGGAGCCTCCGAAGCCCACAAAGAAGCCTGGAGAGGCTCTGAATTCCGGAGACTTAGATGGCTTTGAAGGGTAGACCTGTTTGCCGAGGCCCTGCTGGGTAGCTGGACTGGGAAAGAGAATCCTGGGGTGGCAAAACATAGAAAACGTCTCTGCTGAAAAGTTGTGCCTTCTCTGGTGGCAAAATTCTGCATACCATTGAAGAGATTAAAATACTTTCTGAAGTTATGTAGTCAGCCAGATTATGAGCTATATGGGCTTTTTCTCCTTTGTTGTTGTTGTTGTTGTTTTTGTTTTGGCTATGGGTCTTGCTATGTAGTTCAGGCTGGCCTTGAACTTTCAGTGATCCTCCTGCCTCAGCCTCCTAAGTTCTGGGATTACAGGCAGTGCTGGGGGTGGAACTCAGGACCTCATTCATGCTAGTCAGGTGCTATACCAATGAGCTGCACCCCTGCCCCTGATGATAGGGGGTCTGGACATGCACCAGGTCTCACTTTTCTCTGGCATGGTTAGTACTTGGGCTGAAGGACTTCCATAAAAGTCAATGCTTATGTCATCAAAAGACAAAGGCAACATTAGCTTGCTCTGGTGGCCACTGACTAATCAGAAATGAATGAGGTCTAATGAATATATACTCAGCTTGTGATTCTTACTGTGCTCATTATCCATGTCAGGTGGAACCAGCATATCTTACTGACTTATTTATTTAGTTAGTTTTCTGTTTGTTTGAGGGAGGTCTCATCATGTACCCTCGGCTGGACTTGAACTTGTTAAATTGCTCAGGCTCAGGCTGACCTCAAGCTCAAAACACTCCTGCCTCAGCCTCCTGAGTGCTGGAATTACAGGTGTGCACCACTGCACCCAGCTGAAACAGCAAGTTTAAGATCCTGTGCCTCATTTGTTCATTCATCCTACAAATATTTCTCAAGGCTCTGCCATGTGGCAGGCACTGTCCATGCAGAGGGTCAGAAGGTTAATGCGGTTTCCTACCACTCGTTACTAAGGCTCTCAGTCTCTGGGGAGTAATGGGCAAACAGGTGACCCCAGGATCCCAGGCCTCATAGGGCTCAAGAGTCTTACAGCTGCGACAACAGATACCTAAGCGGAGCCCAAAGGACACAGGAGAAGGAAGACTTGGGTCCTACAGAAGCATAAGGCAAGTCCACAGGTACTTCTACATTTTCTCAGGGTCACATTTAAAAAATAAACAGGAAAAATAAAACACACGTATTAAATTAATGTAATATTATTTTTTGTAATATCCAAAATATTATCATTTCAACATGTAATCAGTAGGGGGAAACAAAAACCTATTGGTGCCCAGCTCTAATCCCAGTACACTGGGAAACTGAGTCAAGAAGACTGAAAGTTTGAAACCAGCCTGGGCAATTTAGCAACTTAGCAAGACGCTCTGACTCAAACTGAAAAATGAAAAAAATCAACTGGAGATGTAGCTCCATGTGAAGGCACTAGGTTCAATCCCCAGTACCAGAAAAAAAAATCTAAAAAGTATTAAAAATATATTTTACATTGCTTTTCACACTAGGCGTTTGAAGTGCAATTGTCTTCTATACTCATAGCTCGTCTTCACTCAGGTGGTTCAGTCGCATCAGAAACACGCAATCTGTATTTAGGTTCCATTGAATTCACAATAGAGCAAGGCAAGGTGGTGCTTGCCTATAATCCCAACACTCGGGAGGCTCAGATGGGAGGATCGATCGACATGAGTTCAAGACCAGCCCAAAATACATGGGGAGAACTTGCTTCAAAAATAAATGAACAGATGAATGAATAAATTAAAAAATCTAAAAATAAATTCACAGTAAAAAAGCAGACCGGTGCACTAAATGTTTCCCAGTACATCTTACTTTAAAGTTTAGTTGGATTGACACACGCGAGATACAATTGAACCTCGAGTTCCTCAGTTGCACCCATTCATTCAGTGCTTGGGAGTCTCCTGTGGCCCTTGGCTCTCCTGTTGGGTGGTACAAAAATAGGGGGAAAGGTAGGGTGAGTGTTCAGAGCTCATGGGGATGCCAGCGTCAGGCCTATCACTGCACAGACATGGTGGGGCTGAGGCTCCCAGAGAATAGAGAGCAAAGCCCAGACCCTGTCCCAGAGGAGCCAGGGTAGTAGAGAGCACCGAATTCACAGCTTGAGGAAGGAGACTCTAGGATTTGGCAGGAAGAACTACAAACCACAAAGATAAAAGGTTGAAGCTGCAGTTCCATTTGCATACGCTTGCTGCCTTGTCTTCTTGCTGATGGCACCAGTGCCCGTCCTTTCCTCTCCTGGTTTAATGCTGAATGTGTGAAAACCGGGACCATTGTGCAACACCCCTGTCCAGCTGCGGCCCTGCCTGTTGAAGGGGAACTGGGCCTTGGCTGGCAGCCGCCTGGCACAGCGCATCCTGCATCCCAGGAGAGGCTGCTAGGAGAGGGTGGTGGTGTTCCTGACAGCTGACTCGCTTCTGGAGAGCAGTCCTGCCCCGGAGTCCTGGTGGCCTTTCCCGAGCTTGGCCTTTGATAGTTCTGTATCTCTTCGCATATACCCAGGCTCTCTGGGCATGGCCAAGCCAACAGCTCTTAAGGGGTTTTCTTTGTTTGTTTTTGATTATTTGAGACAGGGTCTTGGTATGTAGTTAGGCTGGCCATGAATGAACTCATTACATAGCCCAGGCTGGCCATGATCCTTCTGCCTCAGCCTCCCAAGTGCTAGGTTTACAGGCATGAGCCTCCTAGCCTGGCTGCTCAAATGCTTTGAAGGTATGAGACCTCTAGGGCCTCTTGTGAGCTCACACAGCCTGGCCTGGCAATGGTTTTGCCCTTTCCTGTAAGAGAATGCAGTAAAAACAAAAAGAAGAAGAAAAAAAAAAAAAAACCACCCAGTCCCTTCCCTCCCTCCCCTCCAGCTGTGGGCTCTCTGACTTCTTGAAGGAACGGCCCAGGGCACTGTATTTACATTCTTGTATTCGCTGATAATGACTTTCAGATTTTTGGAGCTCCTCCGCTGACAGCAACCCCCCCAACCCTCCACCTCCCCATAGGCCTCTCCACTCCGCCGGCCTCTGTCCCGCCTCCTGGCGCCAGCTCTGCCTCATCAACGGGGTGCACGCCATCAAGCCGAGGACGCCCTCAGAGCTGGAGTGCAGCCAGACCAACGGGGCCCTGTGCTTCATTAACCCACTCTTTCTACAAGTGCACAGCCAGGACCTCGGGGCCGGCCCGAAGTGGCCCAGTGCAAGGACTCCCCCGGTGAATGGCTCCGAGAGGCCTCGGTCCCCACCACCCAGGCCTCCGCCACCCACCATTCAGAGTCTGCACACCAGCCCTCGGCTGTCTGGGACTGACACCCGGCCGGGCATGCCACAGACAGTCGAGCGGGACACGCAGGAGAACTTAGCCACGCTGGGAAGGAAACCAACCCCCATTCCTCCACCCCGGCTAAAGAAGCAGGCTTCTTTCCTGGAGGCAGAGAGCAGTGCCAAGACCTTGACTGCCCGGCTGCCCAGCCGGGGCGCAGAGCTGGAGCTGGAGCCGGGCACAGCTGGCAGCACAGGTGGGGCCCCGCCCACGGGGGATTGCACAAGGGCCCAGCCTCCTCCCGCCTCTGCAGCCCGGCCCCCGTGCCATGGGGGCAGGCAAAGACTGAGCGACATGAGCATTTCCACTTCCTCCTCTGACTCCTTGGAGTTTGAGCGGAGCATGCCGCTGGATGGCTACGAGGGGGACACAAACAGCAGCCTGGAGGACTACGAGGGCGAGAGTGACCAGGAGACCATGGCACCCCCCATCAAGTCCAAGAAAAACAGGCACAGCTCCTTCGTGCTGCCCAAACTGGTCAAGTCGCAGCTGCGCAAGATGAGCGGAGTGCTCAGCTCCTTCATGACCCCGGAGAAGCGCATGGTGCGCAGGATCGCAGAGCTGTCCCGGGACAAGTGCACCTACTTCGGCTGCCTGGTGCAGGACTACGTGAGCTTCCTGCTGGAGAACCGCGAGTGCCACATGTCCAGCACGGACATGCTGCAGACCATCCGACAGTTCATGACCCAGGTCAAGAACTACCTAGCCCAGAGCTCTGAGCTGGACCCCCCGATCGAGTCGCTCATCCCTGAGGACCAAATTGGTGAGTAGCTGCCTTGTTTTCCAATCAAACTTTTCTGTAGCCTGGCCAAGTGGCACCTAGTGATGAGATGTGAGTCATGGTTGAGATTTACTCAGAAATTCAGGACAACACAGAACTCCACTCAGTGTGAATGGGCAGCTTCTTAGGGAGGCTGCTTAAAAATGTTTTGGAGAGCAATAGATTGGGATTGCCGAGCAGCTCTGCTCAGGAGTAGCATCTCTGCCACTGTTCTCTGGTCCTGTGTCAGCTGTGGGCTGGGCCCACAGAGTAAGGTGCTCTGATGTCCCCTGGAAGATAGCAGGGTTTTGTACTGCTGTCTGAGGAGCAGAAAGCACCAAGATGCAGTGGGTAGCTCCCCAGGTTTGCCACATGAGCACAAGTGCTGGCTTGACTTCCATAAGCAGAACAGGATCCTCACCCTGAAAGAACTCCCTGGACCCCGTCCTGTCCCAGGTTACCTTCCTTGCTGGCCTTGCATTCATAGTTCTGTGCCTGGAATGGTTTTGGAGAGAGGAAAAAAACAAAAACCGGAAAAGACAAGTTTGTTTGGTGTACCTTTAAAACAAGTAGTATGGTTTGGAGGTCACATGAAAGGCGTTCTCACTGCAGTCAGGGGAAATACTTTCTTTATAACCTCACTGAAGGGCTGGATTGTTCCTGGTTACTTTGGCAAGGAACTGGCCAAGCTAAATCTGAATTTGGCAAGCAGTCTTTTTTTTTTTTTTTTTTTTTTTTAGGGTGAGCGTATTGAAGGGTTTTGTTTGTTTTACTTTCTTTTGTTTATTACAGAAAGTTGGTTTGAAAAGGTTAATTTCAGAGACGTCATTCACTGGGCAGAGGCTGCCAAAAGCGCTTCTAAACATTTCCAGGCAGTTCGGAAGCTAACCTCGAATTTATTTCTTCTTTGTGATTGGGTCTGTTTGTTGAAAGTAGTAAACAGTGAGTGCTCATTCTCTCTCTCTCTCTCTCTCTCTCTACTCTCTCTCTCTCTCTCTCTCTCTCTCTCTCTCTCGCCTCCTTCAAGTGAGTTTGAGCTTTGATTTACTCACAAAGAAATCAAAGCCTGTTTGTTTCCTCACCCTCACCGATTGGCTGACCAGGGGCGTGTGGTCATAGCTAGGGTGTCTCTGATCCTGTGGCTGACAGGAATGTGCCTTTGTGATGTGCCCTGAATTGAAAAGCCTTCTGTGGCCGCGTCAGCCAACAGCCACACCAGTGGCCTCTTTCCCTCCTGGCCCCTCCGGAGAGAGACCTGCTCAGCCAGAGTGTTAACAGGGACGGACCTGTGACCTGACCTGCGGAGGAGCTTCCTGTTGGGGTGGGGACAGCCAGCAGGTGACGTCAGGCCCCAGCTATGTGGCTGGCAGGAGTCACAGCTCGGGGAAAGGAGCTCTGCAGGCAGCCAAGCCCAGGAAGGCTTCCGCCTGCCCTTTTCCTAATTAAGTTCAGATGCTGTTTTTGCTCTTGGAGCTCAAGGCCTCATTCCCGCCCCCACGCCAGCCCACCAACATGCTGCAAATTATACCCATCGCTGCTGTGCAGGAGGGAGCTTTCAATTTCACCTCTAAGGCCCCATGAGAAGGGAGCCGGACATCCATGGTGTCTCTCCCATGAACAGTGCCTGTCTCCTGGGGTCAACCTGAGGAGGAGGTGCCCACTCCAGCACCCACACCCATTGTGGATGAGAAAGGCAGGGCTGTGCCTGGCAGCCACATGCCACCTGCCCCACACCACCCCAGCTCATAGCCAGGAGCACTGTACTTGATGTCTATGGGATCCTGACCTGACTTTCTACCTTAACTCTGCTGCTGCCCCGCCACTGCCTCTGTGTCTTCTGGCCAGCTGAGCAGGATCCGCATAGTAGGCTGGCCCTCCTCAGAAGCACCCTGTGGCAGTGTGGACCAGATCTCCAAAACCCTTGTCCCAGCTGGGTGTGGTGGTGCACATCTGTAATCTCAGCACTCTGGAGGCCGAAACAGGAGGATTGCCATGAGTGCAAGGTCAGCCTGAGTTACATAGTAAGTTCAAGACCAGCCTGGACTACATAGCAAGATCCTGTCTCAACAAACTTTAAAAAGAAATTGTTTTGCTCTGTGTGTGTTGGTTGGTTGGTTTCATTTGTTTGTTGTGATGCTAAGGATGGAACCCAGGAGTGCTTTCCCACTAGATACACCCCTAGCCTTTAAAAACAAATTTTTTGAGACAAGGGCTCACTAAATTGCCCAGCCTGACTTCAATTTACAATCTTCCTGCCTCAGCCTCCTGAGTAGCTGAGATCATAGGCATGCACTGTCACAATCAGCTATTTGTTTTGTTTGTTTTTATTGTGGTTGTCTTGGGGGTTTTTTGGTACTGAGAATCGAATTTGGGCCCTTGCTCTTGCAAGGCAGGTGGCAGAACAACTGAGCCAAATTCCCAGCCCCAGCTGTTTGCTTTTGTGAGACAGAGTTCTGTGGGTTTACCCAGGCTGGTCTTGAACTCCTGGACTCTTGTGATCCTCCTGCGTTAGCCTCCAGAAGGGCTGGGACTACAGGTGTGCAGCACCATGCCTGGCCTGGTTTGGAGCTTTTTAACATTTTCATTAAAGCAGGCATTTCATCCTGTTGGTTCACCAATGCAAACATCATCCTGGTTTGAAAGGATGGTGAAACTGCTGGACTTGAAAATAAGGGGTTAGGAGACTGACCACAGGTCAGCAGGAGAGATTCATAGTAGGGAGAGAGGGATGTGGCTGACCTGCATTACTAGAAAGCCATTTCCTATAAATGTGCAAGCAGCTAGTTTAGGACTCTGAATGGAATGTGGCCTACTAGCCCAATTGTGTGTCTTACACAACTCCTAGCAGGAGGACCAGGGCTTCTGCTGGCTGAAGCACTGTGGAGACTCTTCACTCAGTCCTGTTCATATTGTTCAGGGTTTACAAATTCAGGGGGAACAGAGTTACACGGAGTAATATGCAGAAGGTGATGTCTATGGACACGGGCATCCGCCGCGCCCTGTCCTCTTTCCACAGTCTGCTTTGAAAGCTGTCCTGGGAACTCCATGCCTCTTATTTGTTCTGAACAGGTGTCTGTGAATGCTGGTGAGGCTTTTACAGAATGGCAGCTAGGTTTCTGTCCTCTGAAAAAATCTGGTCCTGCCCTCTGTTTCCATAACATTTGGAGGACATAGCTCTGAGTGAGGGCACAGGAATTCTAATATAAGGCCTGGATCATAGAACCTCTGCCCCACAGTCCAGGAAGTGAGAGGAGGCAGCTGCATGGCTTAGTCTGTAGAGTGGGAGCAGCCACACCATCCTGTGTGAGCTCTTGCATCTGGGTCTCTCTGGTGTGTGGAGCTCTGATGCAAAGCTGTCTTCTTCAGAGGGTGGTTCTTCAGCCACAAAGAGAAGAGCACTGGGGAAAGAAGCCCAAACAAACCACTCTCCTGCTCCCACTCTGCTCCTGTGTTGAGCCCACTGCCCTTTCTAGCCCTTTCTAAGCTGGTAGAAGTGCTCAACAGTGACTCAGCCTCAAAGATGGGTAGGCCACTGTGTGGGTGCACTGGGTTATGTCCTGTCACGTAGAGTTGTAGTGCTATTTAGATGCCCTTTGGAGTGCTTCTGCTCAGAACCCTGCCGGACAGGGGTCTCAAGTTGTGTTGCCTCTGGAGGCTGTCCTTTCGGGGAATGCAGTCCACAAGGGTGACACCCTGGCTATCTCCCTAGCCACACTACCAGCTATCCCTTCTTTCTGATGCCAGGGGGCTTCCTTGATGAACAGCTGCCCTCTCCCACTCCTAGGTGCTCATGGGAGAACAAACCAGTGTTCTCACCAAGAGTCTACACAGCATTCAGGTCCACACACAAACCCCTGAGCTTGGTTCCTTAATTGGCAGTGTGACAGAATCATGGCTGGTATCCCACACAGGGAAGACCAGACAGACGTCTGTGACATTCTAGTCACCCCAGCTTTTGTTCCTCATTGGCAAATTTTTACAACACACCAGATTTGCATGGGTCTTATTCAACCAGTGGGAGAAATTCACCCCCAAACTTCTAGTAAAGAAATCTGCTCTTTGCAAAACTTGTTGCAATGTTATAGTTATTTGTTTTCATTTTAGAAAATGATTTTTTTTCACTTGAAATCAATGTTGGAAAATCTCTGTTTTCAACCTTGCTTCAGGAAAAACAAGATTTTCTCCAACTCCAAAACTGTCAGTAATCCTAAATTTTCTGTATCACCGACACTACCTGCCATAGCTATCAAGAGAGATGTGAAACAGCCTAAAGTCAATGATGAAAAACAAAATGAGTTTTTCTTTCCTTAACTGCTGTGTTCCAAAATCTGTATTTTCTCCAAAGAACATTTTAATTATTGAAAATGGTGTGTTCTTAAACTCAGTTCTTACATCAAAGGCACAAGTGGGTTTTTTTGTTTGTTTGGTTGGTTGGTTTGTTGGTTGGTTTTGTTATTTGAGATTCTGGGGATTGAACCCAGGGACTTTGCACTGAGCTATATCCCCAGTTTGTCTGTTTGCTTGTTTTCATTCATTCATTTATATATTTACAAGGTCTTGCTAAGTAGCTGAGTTACCCAGGCTGGGCATGAGTTTTCGGTCCTCCTGCCTCAGCCTCCTCAAGTGCAAAGATTATAGATGTGTACCACCACACCTGACTTGCTTTGTTTTAAGAGAAATGATGCTGAAAATGAGAGTAGCAGCAGGGACAGCAGGGAATAGAATGTGAAAGAGTACTGAGCCTGGTGTGGTGGCTCAGCTACTCAAGAAGCTGTATAAGTCCAGGAGTTCAAGGCCAGCCTAGGCAACAGAGTGAGACCTTTTCTTCCCCCACACAAAGACAGTGGAGGTTGATGTGATTTCTTAGCAGTTAAACTGTCATAACTAGTTTAATTCAGATCAGTTGAAAACTGAGTATCTGAGTGCACAATACCTAATGTGATTTGTTTCTAACATTTGGTTCACAGCATAGTTCTACCCTCTGAGGTGACTACTGTCTCTTT